ACGAGGAGGACAACACACACACACACACACACACACACACACACACACACACACACGGGACTAATTTCTGTGAATGGAAGACCAAAGTCTGCACTACCGCACCCGGGGGGTGATGAAATGAAAAGAAACGATGTGACCTTCAGGTATAAGAGACATAGCGGTAGAGACAAGAAGGACAGAGTTAAGAGATGAGAGGCCAAGAGGTGAGAGGCCAAGAGGTTGGTAGAGTAAAGGTCCCAAGAGGTTAGAAGATAGCGGAAGGAAGGAAGGTAGGGAGGAGGAGAGGGGTGTTGTGTTATGTTACAGGAATGGTGGAGGAGTGTAGATGGCAGTGGTGGTGGTGGAGGGAGCGTGGGATGGGTTATGGTGGTGGTGTTGGTGACAGATCCTGGATCATTTTGCAAGGGATGAAGGAGGTGGTGGTGGTGATGGAGAGCCATGCCTTTCAGGAAAGCAACTAGTGGGAGGAGAGAGGAGGGGGTGGGGGATGATACAGGAACCGGAGGAGAAAATGTGGCAGTGGTGGAGGACACATAGAGAAAGTGAGAGTTTATCATACCAGACAGGTGATAGCCAGTAGAGTGAGGGGGTGGAGGTGATAGCCAGGTAGAGGAGAGGGTGGGAAGAGTGAGGACAGCTATGTAGAGGAGAGAGGGTGGAGGTGATGTACAGGAGAGTGTGAGAGGGTGGAGATAGAGGACAGGTGGGAGGGTGGGATTAGATGGAGGGAGAGAGATTGGAGGAGAAGCTAGTAGATGAGAGGTGAAGGGTAATAGCCAGGTAGAGTGACAGAGATAGGAGGGAGAAGCAGGTAGAGTGAAGAGGGGTGGAGGTGATAGCAGGTAGAGGGAGAGGTGGAGGGTGTGAGAAGCAGGTAAAGAAGTTGGAGGTGGGAAGGTAGAGGGAGAGGTGGAGGAGATAGCCAGGTAGAAATTGAGAGTTGGAGGGGTGAAGCCAGGTAGAGGGAGAGGGGGAGGGTAGAAGCCAAGTAGAGAGAGAGTTGGAGACGATAGCCAGGTAGATTAGAGTTGGAGGAGTGATAGCTAGGTAGATTGAGAGGGTGGAGGTGAAGCCAGGTAAGGAGAGAATTGGAGGGATAGCTGTAAATTTAGGTTGGAGGGTGATAGCTGTAGAGTGAGAGGGTGGAGGTGTGAAAATGTAGGAATGGGAGTGGTGGAGGTAGAGGACAGGAGAGTGAGGTGAAGTAGAGGTGGGAGTTGGAGGAGGACAGGGGAGTGAGGTGGAGGGTAGAGGGGTTGGAGGGGTGATAGCTAGGTAGAGTGAAGGGGTGGAGGATAGCCAGAGTGAGAGGGTGGAGTAGCAGGTAGAGGAGAGGGTGGAGGATGATAGCTGGTAGAGGAGGGGGTGAGAAGCAGGTAGAGTGAGAGTTGGAGGCAGTACCAGATGGACAGGTAGGGTAGAAATTAGAGGGAGATGTTGGAGGGTACAGAGGTGGAGGATGAGGCCAGGTAGAGTGAGGGTGGAGGGATAGCCAGGTAGAGTGAGGTGGAGGGGTGATGAGCCAGGTAGAGTGAGAGATTGGAGGCAGATGGACAGGTGAATGAGAAAGGTAGAGGGAGATGTGGGAGGTGAACAGTAGAGGGAGATTGGAGGGGCGATAGCTGGGTGAAAAACCAGAGTGAGGGGGAGGGTACAGTAATGATGGGGTGGGTAGGACAGATGGAGGGTGAGGAGTGGAAATAGAGAGTTGGAGGTGACAGAGGGAGAGGTGGAGGTGTGAAAATGGCCAAGGAGGCAGAGTTAGGGGTGGAGGTGAGCAGCTAGAGAGAGGTGGAGGTGACAGCTAGAGGAGAGGTGGAGGATAAGCAGGTAGAGAGGGGGTGGAGGGTGATAGCAAGGTAGAGTGAGAGTTGGAGGTGATAGCAGGTAGAGTGAGAGATTGGAGGAGAATAAGAGGTAGGAGAGGCGATAGCCAGGGGGGAGGTGATAGCCAGGTAGAGTGAGGAGGGGAGGGGCACAAAGGTAGAGTGAGAGGTGGAGAGGAGAAGCAGAGTGAGAGGTGGAGGTGGAAGGAGGAGAGGTAAGATAAGCCAGGTAGAGTGAGAGGTAGGAGGGGATGGACAGGTAGAGAGGTTGGAGGTGATAGCAATTAGAGGGAGAGGTGGAGAAGGAGGATGAGCTGGGAGGAGAAGCAGGTTGAGGGGTGGAGGTGATAGCTAAGATTGAGAGTGGGAGAGTTGGAGTAGATAGAAAGGAGAGGGGTGGAGAGGTGATAGCTAGGTAGAGTGAGGTGGAGGAGAACAAAGTGAGGGGTGGAGGGTGATAGCTAGGTAAGTGAGGGTGGAGGGTGATAGCCAGGCAGGAGAGTGGAGGGTGATAGCCAGGTAGAAGAGAGAGGGTGGAGGGTGATGAAGCCAGGTAAGAGAGAGGGTGGAGGGATGATAGCCAGAAAAGGGTGGAGGGGTGATAGCCAGGTAGAGTGAGAGGGTGGAGGGGTGATAGCCAGGTAGAGTGAGGGGGGGGGGGAATGCCACGCCCCTGGGAGTAGTAATCACTGTGGTAGATAGTGTCGCCAGCTGCCGTACAGGGGGAGACACCAGACCTCACAGCGCTACTGATGCTGTACACTAGATGGTGTATTGGGGCTTAAGGTTAGGTTAGGTTAGGTTACTGGAGGTTAGGTTAGGTTACTGGAGGTTAGGTTAGGTTACTGGAGGTTAGGTTAGGCTACTGGAGGTTAGGTTAGGCTACTGGAGGTTAGATTAAGTCCTCACCACCCTGGCCCAAACCAAACTACCCATGGCCCAAGCGTCCAGCATTCCAATTGGCCACCTTACAAGTTGCGGCATTACAAAGTTAATTCCTCTCTCATTATGGTGTCAGTCAGTCGCCAGCCGTCACTAGCAGATAAGATAAATGCTTGATGATGATGATGATGATGATGATGATGATGATGATGATGATGGTGGTGGTGGTCATTAAGTTCGTGAGAGCAGGCAGTCATTACCAGATGTGGGTATCCGCTACTCCTGATGGCAGAGGAGGAGGGCTGGGGGTGTGTATAGAGGCGTGTTTTTTTAAGAGAAAGGAGGGTGAAAAAAGATTAGAGGTGGTAAGGAAGTTATAGTTCAGAAATTGAAGAAATTTAGGGGGAGGTAAGAGAGGGCGGGCCGAACGCCGAGGCGGTTATGGGTGTATTTAGACCATGGTTGTGGGTGTAGGGTGTAAGGGTGAGACACTGGCTGACTTACGGGTATACTGTAGCAAAAGGTGATACACTATTTTTTTTTCATTTCCCGTTTTGGTTTTCCACTTAGTACATTCCATATTAGTTCATGATTTTGGTATTTGTTGACAGTTTGCAAGTGTGTGTGTGTGTGTGTGTGTGTGTGTGTGTGTGTGTGTGTGTGTGTGTGGTGTGTGTGTGCGTATTACCGTTAACCACGCCCGTGATATATATGACAAGGAGGGGGTACGTAGCTGTCAGAGGGGGACAAGACCTAGTGACTGAGATCCGCTTCGTGGTACTCAAACGACTGAAATCCAATTCATGATGACCCTTTGGGTTGTTCAAGTACAATTGGTCCTGTCGGCGAGGATGGTGGTAGTGTGGTGTAAAGTGGTGGTGGTGGTAGTGTGGTGTGGTGAGGATGGTGGGTAGTGTGGTGTGGGTGGGGTGGTGGTGTGTGGTGTGGGTGAGGGTGGTGGTACTGGTGGGTGAGGGTGGTGGTATGTGGTGTGGTAGTGTGGTGTGGGTGAGGGTGGTGGTAGTGTGGTGTGGGTGAGGGTGGTGGTAGTGGGGTGAGGGTGGTGGTAGTGGGGTGAGGGTGGTGGTAGTGTGGTGTGAGTGAGACGGAGTTAGATTCCAGTTATATTAAATTGGTCATTAATATTTAAAGTTAATGGTTTCTGGCGTGACTATCATTATTAGGAGTTTGTACTGTAGTGATGTTTGAGGAAATAACATCGCTGAGGTGATGGGTGAAGGCTGAGGCTAGCAGGTCGGGTCCCGTGTGTGTGGAGGAGACGAAGACTGCTGAGTCACTGACTGAGGGATGCTGTAATATCGTCACCTGACTCTCTTCCACACTAGTGCTCGTGGGGATGAGTCGACGGAACCTGGCACTCTTTTTCCTCCATTGAGTCCTCGCTTCTCTTAACACTTGTTATCTCTACCAGTAACGGAGTCTGGTGTGGTGTGGTAGAGGAAGGTGCTGGGTGATTCCTGGCTGAAAGTAGCCGAGCCGAGGAACGTCACTGAGGCACGCGCTGCCCCGCCGGATGTGAAACTTGATTACAGTGGAGTAATGCCACACCACACCACACCACACCACACCACACCACACCACACCACACCACACCACCAATATAATGTACATGTAATTTATTTGAGCTGGATAACAGGAAGGCGACGCCATCTCAAAAATGTGCCTGTGATATTCTTTACGACATATGAACCCACAATGTACGCGGTGGTGTCAGCTTGTGGACACGGAAACTACAGACACCACAGATCTTTGTTTATTTCCTGTTTATATCCGGTAATAGTGACGTGTTGTGGCTTCATCCTCACTATCCAACCTTCCTGCCCTCCCCCCACACGTCTCCAGGACTCACTTCACCCGGGTCTTGCCCTTGAGTTAGACGATCATAATTATTATTTTCTTCTGTGTTGGACCAAGTAACTGTAAACTCCCTTCCTTTCTTTCTTCCTCCATACCTCCCTTTCTCTCCCTATCTCCCTCTCCCTTCAGGAAGTTATGAATCCCGGATAGGGTGTGGTGGTGGTGTGGTGCGGTGTGGTGCAAGTGTTGATGCTGGAGGCTGGCTGACACCACTTTCCCCATGGATTAACAGGTTTTCTCTCCACAAGTTAACTAGACCTTTACACGAGAGAGAGTATGTGTGTGTGTGTGTGTGTGTGTGTGTGTGTGTGTGTGTGTGTGTGTGTGTGTGTGTGTACGTACAGATTTACATGTTAGAAGCTGGTGAATGCGTGTATCAGTTTACTAACGTCGTGTTTTTTTGTGTTATTACAGAAGACTTGTCAAGACCTACCTGCCGAAGAAGAAGAGTGCGAAGACCTACAGTAAGTTTAAAGCTCCAGGACGTTTATGTGGGGGGTGCTGGCCAATGGGGTGTTTGGTCACATGAGCCTCCTCTCCCCCTCTCCTCCTCAGTCTTCTTCTTCTTCACACGAGACCACAAGGCATGGCGACCATTAGGAGAGAAACCAATTAAGACTTACCTGGGACCAATTAAGACTTACCTGGGACCATTTGACCAACTACAGACACTGTTCGTTCACGCGCCTCACTCTTAACCATTTTCCCCATGTGTCTACAGTACTAATTATTATTATAGATACAAGATAAATAGCCAAGCAGATTAATGGCCTCCTAGTATGTTGTGTCTAGTAGTTGAGTCACACACACACACACACACACACACACACACACACATGGTCTGTTTTGTGGGTTTTAAAAGTATATGAGAAACCGGAAGTAGGAGAAAGGTGTGTGTGTGTGTGTGTGTGTGTGTGTGTGTGTGTGTGTGTGTGTGTGTGTGTGTGTGTGTGTGTGTGTTACGTAACGCAGATTTTCATCAATAATCATAATGCTACAAACACATTGATTATGATGCCTTGTTTAAAGCAAACTTAGAACCTAAAGGTAGACACCAAGACAAGCGTTCCTAGTTGGTCAGTGGGCGAGAGAGACAGTGGGTGAGAGAGACAGTGGGCGGTATGTGAGGCGCCACCGAGACTAGAGAGAGTTATACATGATCAATTCTCAGCGCCGACCAGTGTAGTTGCTGTCGCCGCTCACCGAATCCTGTCTAAACGCTGTCTGCACCGTCCATCAGTTCCCCAATACACTCCTCAAAGTATAAATATATATTCGGTATTTTTTATATACATCGAAGACAAAGTTTTCATAATTTTTTTTTTATTTTTATTAGTTTCATTTAACCTTACTGCAAGTATTAGGTTTACAGTGTGTGGTACAGTATGTAATGAAATGACAATAAGCGGTGTGGTAGAGTGGGTCCCCAGTCTCTGGCGACAGACGGCGGAAGTCTAATAAATGTCTCGTAATTTTCTTCTCATTGCATTGTAATTGTCAAGGGTGAAATTTATTTAAGTGGTTGGCTATTAACGAGTGTATATGTTGCCTGAAATGTGTATACCAATGTTTACACTTTACAGAATACCGGACGTTACTTAAAGAAAAAATGCTTTACCAAGGAACTAAGATGAAAATTTTGACTTATTTATTCAACACTTGGTAAATCCCCCAACTAATGCCTTCACTATTGTGTTTTCCTTCACTACTCCAGACAGTAAAACATGTACAGTACAGGTATAATACAGTAATTAACAACAAGTAGATGGGTGTGATTGGCTTGTGGAATGTTATTAGTACCTGTAGTTGAAATGTATTTTGTTTATGTCTTATGCAAGTGTGTGTTTGTCAGGTTCACCAGTGTAAAGGCGTTTCGTGATGCAGTGAGTGAAACAGCGGATTTAGCGGGTCAACATGAGGTCATCTCTGAAACACTCACCGCTGTCGTGCTCGCGGAGATCACCACACTCGTTAAGGAATTTAAGGAGGATAGGAAAAAGGTAGGTTATGGTCTCAAAAAGTACAGTATGGTAATGATTTACATGTTGGATCATATCTTGTGGAGGGATTAAGGAGTTTTCATAAACCTGTTGTAAAACTGTAGTGAAGGGAATGAATATTACAGTACCTGAATATGAGTAAGGTAAGAACAGGAGAGACCAAGTACAGTAATATATAATTTTTGAGTGATTAAGAATGTTATGGCAAATAAAGAAGGTTGTGCTTTCCTGTACAGTACTAATGAAGATTTTTCTTAGTCCATTGATTATTGTTCACATATATTTCGTCGTTCATCATAATTCAGTATATTATTTTACCAGCCTGTAAACATGTTAAGTAATTCATAATTTACTTTAAATTAATATGTTGTAATAATTTTGTTGTTGTTAACAGCACTTAACAGATGGTAGCCGGGTACAGCAGCAGTTAAATCATTCACTACAACAGCTAGAGAAGGCAAAGAAAAACTATGAAAAAGCTTTCAGAGAAGCGGAGAAGGTGAGAGAGATTTATGTGTTGGAACAGTTTAATTTACCTTTTATTAAAGGAAAATAATTATAGAGTCAAGTGATAAGTATTAGAGGGAACAACACTGTGCAGTTATTTGTTATTATTTAACTCTTCCTTTTACTGTATATAAGAAGGTAGCTTCCTTGAGTCAGTGAACTATAGTGTGAGAAGCAACAAATTGCTTAAGTTCCAAACTTGTATCTTCTTGTGAGATGTAAATTATAAGTCTGCTTCTTCCCCCCAATTTTTAATGTTCGTCATCACTGTTTTTGAAGTCTCCTGTCCATGTTGTCATCACTGTCCTGTCCATGTTGTCATCACTGTTTTTGAAGTCTCCTGTCCATGTTGTGCCATACAAGTACTGTTCTTCATGTAAAAAAAATCTCACTGGGGTATGGTAGATCAGTGTCTTTAAGGTGAGGCAGAGGAGAGAAATGACTAATGATATCTTCTGAACTTCTTAGTCTCTGAAAGATTCTCATTAGGTTGTTGTATGGAAGATACCATATACATACAGTACAGTACAGTACTTAAATATCATTAATAGATATATGGAAGGCAGGGAAAGAATCCTTATTCTTCTCCCTTCACTTTGTTGTCTTGGGGATCCTACCGGTAAGTGTTTTTGATTTTATATGAAGAAATTGGGATTTTTATTGTGTGTGTGTGTGGGGGGATGTGACACAGAGGGGTAGGGAGAAATACTGCCTTATAAAACACTGTATGGGTTGATTGTGTTGCCATGTATCACTCTCAATCACTCTTCCTCAGGCACAAGATAACTACCTAAAAGCAGACGCTGACCTCCACCTGTCTCGGGCAGAGGTGGAGAAGCAGCGTATGAATGCCAGCATCAAGAGTCAACAGTGTGAGGACAGCAAGAATGAATATGCAAATCAATTACAGAAAACAAATCAGTTGCAAGTAAGTTATATAATGTTGCAAATGTTTTTTATATAAGGTTGTATATATTGTACAGTACTGTATTTATAAACAATCGATCATTGTTCTAAGTTCATTGGCTCACTCTATCAATACTTGAGGTAATTTGGGGTGAAAAGAAGAATGGAGGAGGAACGTTCTGGGACTTATCTATGAGAAAGTATAACGTCTGATTAACTTACAGGTTTTAATGAATACAACTTGTACATTAAACAGATGCTAACTGTTCTTTTTATTATTAACTGTTCGTCAAAAGTATGGACAATTTTCTATGCACTGAATTATAAGAGAAGAATTAGCAAGATTTTGTTTAACTCTTTGTGACCCATTCTGTAATCATCTTTATGTTATCTTTGCAGGGTGACCATTACAACACAGTTATGCCCAGTATCTTCCAAGGTCTTCAAGATTTAGATGAAAAGAGAATCAATAACTTCAAGAATTTGCTAAAAAAAAGTGTGGAAATTGAACGCTCGGTCTTCCCTATTATAAACAAATGCCTCGATGGAATTGTATCTGCTGCAGATTCTATAGATGAAAAATGTGTAAGTTATGTTCCTTTAATCAGCCTTTCCTGTCAGGTTCTTAAATCTTAATGCTATTTCTTACAGCCTCTCTGGCTCTCCTCCCCTCCACATGTAAGCTTATACACGTTGTTAATGCCCATGAGAAAAAACAGGATATTTTAAGTAGAGGTGTTTGCAGTAGGGTGGTAGAGAGAGAGTGAGTTGAGGCCACAGCACTGGAATTTGCTGATCTGGTAAATGAGAACAAGATGCCGTCTGGTGCCTCCCTCTACTATGGGGGGCAGAAAATGCTTTGTAGCCATACAGGGAACACCTACTTGTATACCTCTTCTTAGACCTGTAACACGTAAGTCCGTTTCCGAAACATTGGTGCATATATGATATCCCACCATTGTATTATTGTTTCATTATGCTTAGAAATGTGCTTAATATCCCACTGTAGTTATATTATTGTGTTAAGGAATGTTATATCAAAATGATGTTTACTTACTTTGTAATAATTGTTGTCGACAGTTTTTTGACCGAATTATATTCTTCATGTCCACCGTGACGGGTGTCCTTATCCTGTGATTGTCTTAGGGGTGATAACACATCTCTTGACCCATTGGGTTGGTCTTATCCATTCTCTTCACATGTCCAAACCATCTCAGCCTGGCTCTATGTATGACTTCACCAATATTCTCAATACCCAGCTGGCCTCTTAGCTCTGAACAAGGCCTCCTGTCTTCCAGTGTCACATTACACATCCATCTCGCCCTTCTCATTTTAGCTCGTTCAAGCCAGCTTTTGTCATTGTCTTTAATTGCTCACACCAGGCAATACATTCTTGTGAAAGGTAGGTCCTCTTGCCATTTAATAAAGGCAGCAACACCATAAACTTCCTTTAGCCACTTCTTACTCTTGCAACCGAGCAGGTTCCAGCACCCCTACTGGCACTGATCATGTCACCCAGGTCACAGACTCTTCAACACAGTCCAGAGACATATCCCCAGCCTTGCTGTGGGTGCATGATCACCTGCACATACAGAACACTTTAACTCAGCATCATCCTAGGCTGCTCCTGTCCCATTCATAATCATCATTCAGAAGTGATTAGAGTACTTTCTCCATGCATCATTGATTTCCTCATTATGAACAACCTCATAACCATTTTCATTTCTCATACACTGCTCACCATGCAACTGCATTCTTCAACATATCCACAAATGTGTCCTGTTCATGCTTTTTAGCCTTGTAAACCTTTCCTCTGGCCCAACGTTTGGCCTCCTGGTACTTTACTACTCTGTAACAAAGGTTGAATGAGTAACTAAAAAGTATCATTCAAAATTTTTCTCCTCAGGCATTTGGTGTAAATTGTTTTAACCGTCTCTTTCCAGGACTCTCAAGTTGTCATAGAACGGTACAAATCAGGCTTCACTCCTCCTGGTGACATTCCCTTCGACGACCTCAGTACACCAAGACAAAACGGTGACACAACTCCAACCGTCCACCCACCACTCCGACAGGATACCATTAAAGGCACAATATCAGCTTCTAAGCTAAAAAAACGTGGTGGCATATTTGGTATTTTTGGCTCAAATAAGGTAAGCCCATTTTGATAAAAAACTAAAGATAAAAATTAATTGGTTTGGGAAGAGTAATTAAAGTCATATTTTAGATATACATTCAAGACTGATGTAACCAAGTAGATAATGAAATCTGTTTAGGTTTAGAGTGAAACCTTCATATAACAGACTTCTCTATCCATATAAACCATTAGATGAGGGTTTCACATCTAATGGACCCTCGACATAACAGACTTCCATCTCCATACAGTTCTTTAGATGGAGGTGTCCTCTCTAACTGACCCTGGATATAATGGCTTTCCCCCTCCATGTAGTCCGTTACATAGAGGTTTCACTGTATTTACACTGTGTCTGCTGAGAAGTACTATTTTAGTATTTTGTGCACAGTTTATTTATATTAACCAGGACCCACTAAATCATTATTAGCTAGATTATCCACGCAACCCTTTACTTGGTGATGGGCGCCAGCCTCTACCCAGAGCTTCTTGATTGATAACTTCTGAGTCCTGGTTCATAAATTTGGTATTTTTTGGGCTGTAAGCTTTGGCTATTTATTTTAATTGTCTTTTACTTGGTTATTTTTTATAGTCTTTCTGATTTAAACTGAGACATAGCTACAGAGAATGGCGTAAGATTGACATTCGGTGATTTTTATTTTTTTTTAATATATTGGATAATCTAGGCTCTGATTGGTTTGGTCATGGCTAATATGCAAACAGATCTTGGTCATTTATGCAATCATACATATATATACCACAACACTGCATAAAGTACAGGTACAATAGTCAGTTAGTCAGCCAAGTTGGGTCTATACTGCCAGTCTTATGTATACTTGAGGAGATAGACAAACTCACCCCCACACAAAACATAACACAGCATTAGTTTTTTCTTTACACCCTGACAATATTAATTTGGTTATCAAAGATGAATTCCTAAGTTTAATGTGATTATTGAGAGTTTCTATGGGGGCAGATGGTATAAGAAGTAGAATTAACTGGTAACTGGAGTGATGTGGGCTGGTGTATGGTTAGTTAAGCCTGGTTACCTTAAATTTTAAAATATCTTGAAAATTTGCGAAGGTCGGTCAAACTCAAAAGTCTTAGCATGATCGTAATGTTTCCTTCACATAGTATGCTGAGTACACTAACTGTATTATTCTCATAGACTATTAATGAGTTTTCTGTAACAAAATATACAGGTACTATATGTATTTATAATAGTAATGATAAAGAATTCACACATAGTTTAATGATAATAGAAGACTGCAAGTATCTGTCCACAAAATGTATCATAATGTAGTTCATCAGCCACTATTTCTACGTCGAGGCCATTTAAAAAAAGCTGCTGTAATGTAAAAAGTGAGAGAAGGACACTTGATAAACTTAAAACGGTGTCGCAATTCTTCATTACACAGATGTTGGACTTTTAAATGGCAGGAATAGCTACTTTTTTTTATGTCTAGGAGTTAAGGATGAATCAGCTGTAGGGATTCTTAAGGTGTGTCCTATGTGATACTGGGCTGGAATTGTCAAAACAGTGATATAAAAGAAAGTTAGTTTGGCAGGAGTTTGTGTGCATTGAATATAACAACTAAGTACAGTACATTTAAGGTACAATAAGGTGAGATAAATTACCCGGTATATAAAACTTGATTCAATTTAGCTGTTAATGTGTCAGGAAATGTAGGTGATATGTTTTAGAGGCCAGGGATTGAATTAGTGGAGATGCAGATAAGACTTGTTGATAGTTAAGGGTATAATGCAAAATTGGTAGACATATTGAAGAATTGTGTAACTATATGAATCTTCCTTATTTATTTTGTTAATCCTTAGTGCAAAAAAAAGATGAAAAGATGTTGTGTGAGGCTTTATTCATTTGTTACATTTACGAGATAGCAGTGAAGTTATGGCTAATAGAGCAGACTAAGATCAGATACAGTAGTGAGTATGATAGCTTATGGTAGCTTACATCTTGACACACTGTAGCAACACTGTATTGTCCAGAATGTCGTCACTTGCTGTACAAGTCTGGGGTAGTCATTGAATAACACTTAGTAGACCTTTCCAATCCAATTATTCATGTATTTAAACTTTATACATACATACACACTTCTGCACACTGACACACTTACACACACACACACACACACACACTTATGCACACTTACACACACACACACACACACACACTCTTATGCACACTTACACACACACACACACCACTTGTGATCTCTTGCATATTTTCCCTCATTACTAACTTAAAAGGCCTGAAATTTACCCAGAAATCATATATTATGTATATCCATAAATGCTCTGGAATTTTATCTTCTTATGCAGTAAAGCAGTGGGGTCTGAAGGCTGTTATTCCCCAGTTTAATCTAGCTTATAAATCCATATATAATTCTTAAAGGAGTCTATCTTGTCTGCCAGCACTCTTATTAGTCATCCTCTTCAGCACAATGTATATATATATATATTCACCAATTTTAAGTAATAAATGCTGCAATGGTATAATTTCACTGAGCAGGTACTGTACACTGTAGTATCAATTGGCCCCTGCTAAAGAAAAAATCACTCGAGATCCTTTTTTGTACAGTACTTGAATATTCCCCCAGTGTTAATATCTTGTTCAGTAAAATCATTATAGCAGGGGGCTGGCGAGTAGTACATTCTAAATATTGATACGAGTCTGCTCTTTTTGCAGATTGATGCCATATGTAACCTATTAAAGCTTCACAAGATTCTGGTATTACTACATCTCTAGTTCACATTCACTCACTCACATTGCTTTTTTTTTATCAATATTAAGACACTCCATTTTGTTGCCAACATTGGTATTGGTTTTTTTTTTTTTTTGTGGTTTCTTTGCATGAGATTTTGTGTAATGATGCCATTATTATTTTTTTTTATTAGTGTTTAAGTAGCTCCGAGTAAATAGTTTCCCTAAATATATATATATAATAAAGCTGTAAATGCTGTCTGCTTATTGGTTTCAACAAAAAATACATAAATTATCCACATAAACAGAGAATGCTGCAACGCAATTTTTTTTTCATACATCCAAAGAGTTTTTACAGAATGCTGCACTGTACATTTCAATCCCCCTCCAGTTTCAAATAACCTCTAGGGTGTTATGCAAATAAGAATTTTTTGGTGTGCACACTGGAATGATGAATGCTGTTTATGCAGTGTTACATTCATGCTGAAATAATTTCTTGCTGTTACATGAGTGCAAACTGTAATATATTGATGAGTAGCTCAGGAAGGTATGATATAGGTAGTGGTTGAGACAGCTTTGGTACTGCAGTACAGTTCAGTACAGTACAGTACAGGTACAGTACAGTACAGTACAGTACAGTACAGTACAGTACAGTACAGTACTTACCTTCCTCTGTACTGTACATCATTTTAAACAGACAGAGACATTTATTATGCTACTTGTAAATATGAAATGGATTAAGCTGTGGCACTCAGCTCAATGTATTACAGTAAAATATAGATTTTATGGTATAGGTCGGGGCCAAACAACATTCTCTTAAATTGATTTTCCCAGGAATTGGTATAAATGAGACTTAACTCCTTTTTATTATGTATAAATAATCTTTTAGCAAGTAATATGGATGTACAGTAAATGTAAAAAAGATCCATGAGACATTATTATAAAGTTACACTGTATGTACATTAGTAGTCAAACCGTTGAACATTATGCAATAAAATGAGTGTTTGTCAGCGGTCATCACAGACTCTTCCCCTCACTGGGTGCTTGACACACGCACATTGTCACTGTTCCACTGTTTACATAAGACAGTTATTGACAACTCTCCACGCACCATTTTCTCCTTAAACAACGAGCAGTCAAATACCATGCCAGTCTTTGAAGTCATTAATCACCGGAAAGTAAAGTCGCAAGTCTCTCTGATACTTGTTTGTTGATGAAATTGCTCGGCTTTCTCTAGTCATTGGTCCTGAAAGAGGTTTACCCTCACTATGATTCTGCTCAAACCATTCATACAGAACTTTAACTAAACTTTGACTGTATTATATTTTGTCTCTGTTCAAATCCTCTGTTTAATTCTGTTTTTTATAACCCATCTTGTCAACCTCACCAAGCATAGGTTGTGAACCACATCCATTCCCAATAATTGGTATTTAATGTTAAATCACACAGGGGACTGTATACATAAAATTGGTATTTTACTGTAATATTGAATAATGATGCAATAGTGCTTCACTGTGTAATATAATGCTGGAAAAATGTTGATGTCTGCATTAATAATTTATAAATGGAATTATCAGTGGCCTTTTGATGTGCATTTTTAACATAGTAATTTAATGGGCTAGTTACTTGTTCAGGAAATAATGACCGTTTGTATTAAAAAAATTACATACCCTGTGACAATATGCCGTACAGTAGCTCTCAACAGTGAAAGTCAGCAAAAAGGTGGAACAGTTTTGAGGTCTACTGGTATAAAGACTGCACATTGAAAGGCTTCTTCAATATCATATGATTATCTGCTCAAATTTTTTCTTAGTGCTGGGCAATTATTCTAATGATTTTGGGCCATACTTACACTGTACACGGAGGAAAACTATCAGGGGTAGTATTTATTCCATTACGTTAGTTGTTACTGTCGTGTCTGGTAGCTTTTGAATCCAATCTTCATTCGTTGAATAATATTAAACAGGCTGTCCCCGATTTATGAAAATCCAAAGTTATGAAAGAAAAATGCACCGTGTTTCAATTTGTGTACAAAAACTCCAAAGCGACATTTTTTCGTCTCACTTTTTTGTAATTTTTCGTAGCATCAGAAAGTGCTGAGAGGTGCTGTCATAAGCATCTCAGGACTTGCTGTACTGTATCTGGTCAGTTTATAAAGATAATTAACCAATAAAAAGCAGCATACAATAGTGTAATGTACTGTATTAAGAGTGGCTAACTAAGCTAAATGTAAAATCCCATGTAGTGTTTTAGTTATCAAGGCTACGTGAAGCAGTGGCAAGACACTAACTCAAGATATGTAGACTTGGGGAACGCTGATGTATTTAGTGCCCCAGAGTTTGTTCAAATGTCAGTGGAAATACTGTATTAAAATGTTATATGGATAAGATCAACATTTCTTCCTCAGATAAATCATCAAAAATCAAATCCAATGAATGCAGAATATCTCAATATATATATATATATATATATATATATATATATATACAGTATATATATTGTTTATATAGTGCCATAGAATGTTGGTGCATCACTACAAAATTAAAATCATATGTCTTGGCTGGGCCTCACAGTCTCGCACTGCATCACAACCAGTGGAATACAGTAGTTTCTCAGTATGCTCCACTGCATGTACTGTATTTCATGATAAATGTTTATTATTGGCTTATGATCATTGTATACACCAAAACAATTGTCATTAGAAGTATGTTTTGTAGCATTGTAAGACTTCTACAAGGGGAGTCTATTGGAAAATATAGAACTGATTTACGGATGTTTTTCAGCGGAAGGTTTCTCAGGGATGGAACCTTTCATAAATCGGGGAATGCCTGTAATAGTCTTGGTTATAGTGTAGTGGGTATGTGCTGTAGTAAACCAGAAGCTTATTAAATTTCCTGTCTTTTTTTTGTGGGTGGAGGAACCTATTAAATGATTTTATAATTCTAACATTGTCTACTGTCATCACTGATAGGCTGTTATAGGATTACAGCTCACAGGCAAGAAGGGCTAGTTTGGTGTGAGACCTTGAGCTGACTGATTTACGTAGCTCTGTGCATATCAACGACAATATGGCTTCTCTAGTCTTACCTGGTAATGGGATCATATTTATATTTCATGAGTTAGGAGACCTGAACATTGTTAGGTTGTTTGTGGTGCTCGTTAAATACAATACAATATAGTACAGTATAAACCACTTTTATTTATTGATACAAGTAGTTCCAAGTTAACTCATTCCCCCACGTATATTACCAAGTCTAGCAAATACATACTTTACTGTATATTGTAAATAGTGAGCTGTTATTATATGTATCAGGATGTTGTTTATATTGAAAATAACAAATTGTTATTTTTTTAGGTACTTTAAACTGACACTTAAATGTGAACCATGTGCAAGTTATTAAAATGCTTCTGGTGTAATGAGGGAGGACAGAGCTGAAGGCTTAATATGGTATAGGAAGTGTTCATCATGGGAAGGCTTGGCAGTTTATAAATTATCATCATTTAATGTAGTTATAGACTGGACAATTGTTCACCATATCTTAATTGGTATTAAAGGAAACAACAGGGTGTGGAGTTGTGGTTAGGCTTTACTTATCTTTCTTCTGCATTAGTGTTAACATTAACCTTTGTCATTTCCCTCTGTGTGTTCTCTTTGGTGTGGTGATTGTTTTGGCCTGATTGGGTCGCGCTATCTGCATTCAACCCACAACATCGTTGTTGTAAGTATGAGGAAGCACCACATGTACAGGGTGCAAATATGCATTTGTGTGCTTAGCTTACTACTGTACTACCTGACCCTGTGCTTATACTGCTGACTCACTGTGTGTTGGACCATATCTTAAACTAATACATCAACTTTTATTAAAGTGTCTGATTATTTCTCTATATAACTTGTTGTCGGGCCACGTGTCATACAAAGATTTTTGTTCTCGTGAACTTATGTCCTAAGGACCATGATATGGTTATATGATTATATATTAATGACTTATTTGAATTACATTATTTTTATTACATATTGCTGGAATTCTGTCAAGTGAAAATCCTCTTAGTTTGCATTGAAGAATACTGTACCTGTTGCAGGTACAGTATAGATATGAACCATAAATTCAAGAAAATTTCAAAATTTCAAAATGTAAATAAAATAAAATTAGGGTATAAAATAGACAGCAGCATTCCTCCACACTAAATAATGGTGGTGAGTGAAACTATTTACACTTTAGTACAGTATCAAGTACCTGAAAGGCTTGGGATTATGAGACTTTTGTAAAGCAGATAATTTTGGACATTAGCTGTACTGTACAGTACTGGACTCTCTTTACTCCATATGATCTTATAAGAGATGGTTATGATCCTGTATTATGATATAAAGGCTCATGTACTACACTCAATGTTATTTATTATTAGAGCTACACTCTGACTTCTTTCCAAGGGACATACCGTAATGTTTTTTCTTTGCAATATGTGTGGTGTATGGTGAGGAAAATTTAGTGTGTGCATTTCCTCACTCAACATTTTTTATATGTTCAAGGGAAATGCATACGAACATAGCATTTATGTGGCTTAGCTCTGTACATGTTGAGTCTCATCTTTATTTGTCATTATGGGCAATGGTACGGTTTTGGGTGTTTTTTCCCCATTGTGAGTTTGTTTGTATTTTCATTGTGGGTAAAGTACTGGTAACACAGTATACATATTTTGTATCATTGTGGGCACTTGTACCTGTAGTATATTTGATTAATTTAGGTACAAGTAATACCGGTAAGTTTTGGGGTTATTAACGTGTTTTACCTATCATTGTGGGTGACAGTAATATGTTGTTTCAGAGCCGGTAATAGTTGCTGGGGACTACTGGTTAAACATTAACAAAATATTAATCTTTCGTTCTCTTAAAAAAATAAATTTATATTGATAGCCACAAGTGTTTTGTTGCTACTAACCAAATACAGTAATGGCTGACAAGTGCCAGACACTACTGATATTCTTCAGCTTTATTGCTGTGCTGTGCTGTGCTGTGCTGTGCTTTAGTCTGTTTCTTGTGTGTGTTTGCTGCACATCTCAGCTTGCATTGTTTTTGTAGTAATGCTTACTTATTCGGGTTAGGATCTGTTACACTGGTTATGGAAAATACTCTGTGTTACTGTAGTGAAAGTTACCCAACTTTATGTAGGGTTCTTGTACAATACCTTTGACCTCATATTGAAAGGAATTGGCTATAATTTATAGATATATAGATAGCTCGTGATACAGTCACCTTGCATTTATACCTGGTAAAGTGGCTCGTGCATTTTGTGAGATGTGGCACCTGTGTGGAATACTGTACTTATCAAGCATCCTTAGTCTGGCTACTATTGTGAAGTTCCTTCAGACCATTCAGGGAGTTTTAATATGATGTAAACAAACACAGAGGTGCCACATCTGACAAAATGCGCCAGTTACTGTATCAGGTATAAGTGCAGGCGACTGTACAGTGCTGGGGTTTATTGATTAAGAAAATACCAATAGAAAGTACTGTATTAGATCATAGTTTGAGGGTTAGTCTTATTGAAGTTATTAAGGTATACAGTACTTTTTTCTTACAGTGACAGATATTTTATGATTAGTTAAGAGATACCCTGGACATGTACCGTATCTAATATCTTGATCCACTGCACCGAGAGAAATAATATGGCTTATTTTACGCCATAGTTGCTCAAATCTTTGTCGTACCGAAACACTTCTTTGAAATATTAAACACGAGAAACATTCTAATAGGTTTAGCTTATGCAACAGACGCATGGTCTCAAGGCTATTATTTCTACTGTGGTGTTTTAGATGAATTTCAGTTCAAAATTAACTTCTGTAGTTAATTTACTAATGGAGAAGAGATAATCACATTAGGTTATGTGCAGTCAACTACTAAAGTTCATTGGCCTCTCCCCCTGAACCACAAACCCCGAGAGATTCATTCTCATGAATCCGAAGCCTTTATGGACAGAATAATGTATTGGTGTACTGCTTCGTGTTCAGGAGTCTGAATCTCTCAGGGGTTCGTGGTGGAGAGAGACAAACGGACTTGAGTAGTTGACTGCACTATTGTGTGATGTCCCTGTTGATTGGGTGACGTAAATGTGGGAATAATGAGGTATAGTATTCTTTAGGTACAATAAGATTTGCAAACATTGAGTGACATTTTTTTCTTAATAACCCATCTACAACGTGTATACTGTAGTTACCTACTTACAGAGTTATACCTGTAGATGACTTTTCACTACAGCATGAACTTGTCATTATAATTAGGGGTGCACCAGGTAGACTTTATGGGTGGATAGTGGATATTTTCTCTCTGTTATCTGACTGGATATTGTTGGGTTGCCAGATAGTTAAAAAGAAAGTAAATTAGATGACTCACTTAGACTGAGTTGGAATCTTCATTATAAGTCCTTCAGTGTTCTCAAATTTTTCCCATACAGAAGTTTCATTTTTTAGTTGGCCAGCCAGAGGACAGGTGAGCAGCAGTCATCCAGATGGTGTTGTTGTTGTGGTGGTTGTCATCCACAAAGTTTTGATTAGCCATTCATACACAGTTACTTCAGTATAGTGATAATGTGCTAACTTGTTGGTATAAAAGATGTTTCTGTGATAAAAATCAGTAAATATACTGGCTGACACTTTTTGAAATAATGAAGATAAAGTAAACAACGGTTCATATTGCACTTTAGAGACCTGAATACAGTACGTACGGTAATTCAGTAACTGACAGTCTTGCCGAATCTATCCAGAACTGTGTTTTATGTATGTTTAAAGATAGCGGTTACTGTAGCTGCTTTGAGCCGCAGTAGAACCAACAAACTAGTGCACATTACTCCACCATCATACTTCAAGCTGGTATTACTAATAAATTGCATCTTAATTCTCTAATATTTACATTATTATGCATAATTACTGTACTTAAACATGTCTTGCTTATTTGCCTGATTGTGGACTGTTTATAATAAGGGTATAAGACATATAGTATTATAGTACCTTGATGGAGGAGGTGATGGTGGGAATATTTCTTGTGAACTAGAATTATTCCTGGACTAAAGTATAAATAAGGAGAGATGAATGGCCATGTAAGTGGAAACTACCTAAGATATTACACTACTGTAGGAGGCAGTTGTAGGCTGGTAATTATACAAAAGTCAACACAGATTTTTATACTATCCAGCCAGATTTTTTAAACCAGGTATCTAGCAGAGTTTGTAAAGTTGACTATCTGGTGCATTCCTAATTATGATTTTGCCTTTTAGTATATGATTATTTTTATATAGTTGTACAAAAACGTGAAACAAAAGAAGCAAGTTTCACGCCTCTTTATTTTTTTGTGTGTGTACGTACTGTATTGTGACTGATCCACGTGTTGTGAACTGTTTAAGATATGATACTGTAATTAACTGTTGTAGATGTCTTGCTTTCTATTTTTACAGTGAGTCTGGCAAGACTTGATTAACCACTAGTGAACTGTTTTATTTATCTTAGGAAGTTATGCTTGAAAGGATAATCATTGCTTTAGTTTTTCTGAAGCTAATTTTCTTCTTGTTAGATAGACTTGAATCTAACTTTAGTCTCTTAGACCCGTACCAGTCTAAGATAGGACTGGCTATTCTTAATGACAACTTCTAGAAGACCAGAGACAAGGGAAGCCAAAAAGAACTTGTACAAAAACAAACTCTGCCCATTTAAACCCACAGTATGGTCTAAGATCCTTAGTTTTCATTTTGTTCCACTGGACGAGTTCTCACTGTCATAGTAGTCTTTGATGGAGTCAGCTGAGACACATGAAATAAGTTAGTACAGAATTTTGAAACCAGGTTTTAGAAATTAAACTCGTTTCTATATGACTCTATACTGTACTCAGTGTCAACCTCTCTGCTACTGTTGCTGGAGATCTTCTCTCTTGTATTAATAACAACAACAGTCTTCTCTTTGGTCTGATTTGGAGGCTGTATATCACAATATTTCCTTACTCATATTTGTTCCATGAATTTTAAGAGAGATTCATTGAGATCTTAAGGAGGAGGGGGTGTATGATGATTATGATATTTTTTATTAAGTTAACAACATCTTGATTTCTGTTTGAAGAGTTAAAGTTATGCACGAAATTGAATAATCAATATGAATTGAATATTTGGCATCTGTTATGAAAATATTTTCTAGGTACTTACTTGGATCTTTATGATGTTCCTTGTGTTCAACCGTGAGGCTCGTGGCCAAGGTTAGAAGAGCAAGTAATCATTTCTGTACATGTTTGATTTGTGGCTCCTCTCATCTCTAGTCTCATTATTATTCCATTTAGAATCTGTTCTACCAAACTTAAGATAGACTCTCTGGATAGTATGTACGGTTGTCCATGTTAATGAAAAGGTTTATCTCTGCTTTGAATATTAACTATAATGTGTAGTTCAAGACCTTTCAAGTGATAGCATATGCTGTAGTCAGATTTCTGAATTTTGACATTTTCCATTTGTGTGGTATTAATAGTGTCTTTTATAAACAAACTGAACCATGTTTGTATTATGCAAAAATAAATGAAGTTATAAAATAGTCAGGAAACAATAACTTCTTAATTTTTTGGCAGAACAATTTTTCATTCTCTGAAAAGGAGGACTACAGTGACTTACCTCCCAACCAACGAAAGAAGAGAATCCAACAACGAATTGATGATGTCACAACAAAACTGCACCAAGAGACAGCTGCCAGGTAATACCTTACAAAGTCTCTCTTTCTGTACTTACCTTCCCTTAAGATTTTGAAGTAGAACCTTGTATGAGGCAGTTAAACCAATGGTCGGATAATTGAAGGTTACAAATTCGAGTTTTACTGTACAGTACTTTACATTCTGAAATTTCCTTCCAATTAGAAAAAAATTATAAGTGGCAGATTTGCTAAAAAATTTCTGAGACCTAGTCATCATAAACCTTTTTTAATGTATTACTAACAGTAAACCCTTGGTGATGTACATTAAGCCTTTCTTAGTTAAATGTACTGTACTGTACTGTATATGCATTTCAGATGGATAGATATTTTTAATTTACAGTTTAATTTACAAAAAGGAAAATATCAGTGAAAGTGCAACAAAAAATTAAATAAGACCATAAACTAAACTTTCTTTGTTTTTTGAACTGAAGTTGTGCTCTTCTTTGACCTGTTCTCACTAAAAGGTGGGACTTAACCTTGAGTAGGGTGGCTACTTTGAGACAGACTCATAGCTGTCTTCAAATGGCTATCCTGAGACAGAGTTAAAGGTGGCTGACATAAGATTTCCTAATCTCACAGTGACTCAAGCAGTGCCCCCACATGATTATGTGACCTACACAACAAAACCACTGCTGACTTAGCTCATCCTCACAACCACTGACCATTGGGTACATCAGATTAATTTGCCAAATTACTCAAAATTACCAAAGCTATCACATCTTTTTCTGAGCTGGTCAAAGCAAACCAAAGAAGTCCAAATTTGCTAAAATTACTGTTCACTTAGAATCTTTTTCAAATATTCATATAATTGTTTTCTCTCAAACTCCATTGTTAACAGAAACCTTAACTCTGGTAAGGATACAAATATAAAAAATTCATAAAGTATTGCTAAAAGAAGAAAACTTAAGATCTTCTGTAAAAGATGAAGGCTTTTGATGTATTTTCGGGGATTAAAAGAAGAAAACTTTTGTCATATAAAACAGCTCATAATATTTTAATCTTTCAGGGATGGCCTCTTAAAGATGAAGGAAGTGTATGAAGGAAATCCATCCCTTGGAGACCCAATGAGTATAATGGGTCAGCTAAATGATTCCTGTCAGAGGATTGAGAAGCTGCGTGCAGACCTCCAACGCTATCAGACCATGTTGGAAGACGCAGATGGTGATATTGGTGGCGGAGTAGCATCAGGAGGACCATCCACCCCTAATGCCTCGTTGGCACGGCACCACAGCAGTGTCTTGTCGCCGCATCACAATGGAGGAGCTTCTCCTCGATCCTCTGTCACATCCCATCGCACCTCCCTCAGCGACGAGTCCCTCTCCCGGTCAGCTTCTGACTCCTCCGTCTGCACCAACCCTCCCTCCTCCAATACAACCACCACTACCACAACCTCCCTCCATCGTGTAGCCAACTCCGCCACCACCACAACCACAACAATAGGGGAGGGCAACAAACCAACCCCTTCTGACCCGCTGCCCTCTCAGGGGTCAGTTCTGCACTCATCTTCGCAGCAGACAAACACGCACTCATTAATAATTTCATTTTCTAAGCCAGGGGAACACTTAAGGTTTTTAATCACATTAATCCTATTTCTATGTTGTACAGAAGTCCATGATAATGAAGAGATGTGGCTATTGCTCGTAATTGATTCTGTTAAAAGAGTGTGACTTCGTGTTTGTTTGCCGGTTCTATGGTTTAAGGTTATTTGGTCGACTGCTTGGTTATGGTACTTGTATCTGCCAATTTTTTCCCATCAATCTTTTTTCTTTTTTTTATGATATCTGATATGCAGTAATCTATTGGAATGTAATTATGATCTTATATAAAGTAACTTGTGAGTGAAGCATGGACACCTTTAGTGAAGAAATGACCCTCCTTGAATAACCAAATCATCTTTCTTGTAGTTCTTGTGCATGATGGGAGCTTTGTCAACCCTACCATATACTTGAGAGAGTTGACAGATGCTCATGGTTCTGTTAATTGCTGCAACCATTTAGAATTTCAAAGGTATCAGAGTAATCTCTAGACACGACAAGAAAAAATTAACAAAATTAACTCGTAGTCTTAAAGGTAAAAGGTTGATGGTTTGTATTTTGTTGTGATTGTGGTCATTGTTTATCCAGGGTGAACTTGTATGTTTGGTCCGTCAAACCTTTTTCATCCAAACAATACCATAGAACTAACTCTTTCCATATGAAATTGCAGTGTAATATAACCCATTGATTACCTTTTGATTTCTACAGAATGAAATTATCTGATAATGTATTGAGAATGGTAATTTGATTCAGCTTGAGATATGTTTCTGTTGGGCAGGAAAGGTTTCATTGTATGTGTAAACCAGCCATGTGTAGCTCACCTGCACTATGGGTAGAAGAGCTTATGCCATTTCCCCAGCAAGTTAGTCATCATTGTTGGTGTCATCTTAGTGTTCATGATCGTCATTGTCGTCAGTGTTGTGATTATCATTACCATCAACAAAAAATAACTTACAATGCTTGGCTAACATTTAATGAGTCATATTTCAGTAACCATTTACTAAACTCATTCATTGTTTATATGGAATGCAACATGTGCAATGCAGGCGAGCTTCGTTGTGTTCAGACTGTGCTTGTCATCTATCCAGTCATGTAGCAGTGTAAATACTCCTTCCAATATGATTTTCTATTACTGTGTGGGACTAAAGAGCATGAACCATATCTACACTTACACAAACACAACAGTCAGTCAGGTGATGGGATAACACAACTCACATTCTAAACATTTTGTGGTGTTAGGAACTTAAAGCATAAACAACAGACCCAATCCCTCCCACTCCTTTATTTTGTAGTAGCTGCCATTTGATTTTTTTCCATCCTTTTCCTTATCTAGTCAGTCAGGTACAATTAAACTCTGGACTTGCATTCCACCAACCTGTATGGTGGAATGATGTGCATTTCTCTCTGAAAACACAGGGTCCAGCACATGGGTGATACAGATAGACTCATAATTGTTTGCAGAAAATATTCTTTGTCCCAAATTAGATTAAATTGTAGTTTTACAAGTTGCGAATCCTTTATCCGAGATCCTTGGGGCAGAATGTGTCACGGATTCCGATATTTTTCAGTTTCTGGATTTTCAGATAAAGGATTCTCAAGGTGTAATACTAAACAGTAGGTATTTTATGCTAATGATGAAGGAGCAGATTAGAAACATCAAAGGTTATGTGTTTAAGGGCAAATATGTTGGGTGAACAAGATTTAGAGAAAAAGAAATACAAAAATTAGACAAATGCTGAAATAAATGAAATATCAGAGAGGTTTGTTTAGGCAGTACTATGGCCATGATGAGGGCTGAGTTATGGTCTCCCAGCAGGTCAGTGTGAGATTAAGCATGACTATCCCCAACTGTTCCTTGAAGCAGTCGTGAAATTCATGGGGATTCATTAGGATTTGACTGGGTAGGAAGCATATAATATGTTTAATGCTTGTTTTAATACAAGCAGGTCTCTTGGTCATCACCTTGACTAAAAAAAGAGGATTGTATATTTTAATCCTCTATTTATATGTACACATTGTGTAGTATTTTAAATTTCACAATTATTTTTTTAGAGGGAAACTTGTGCTCCTTATTCTAACGTCTTTCCATTAACTGCACCATTCGAAGATATAGGTTGACAGGTGCCTAAATTAACTACCAGCTTGAAAATTAATCTTTATGGTGATATTTTGAGCTAGCTTGACACAGTTTTGTCTATATTGTTAATTATTTTAGGTTCTTTATGGATAATTCCAGGGCTATTATTTAAGACGGAGACATTACTTCTTTTAAATTTTTCAGTGAAAGAAGAAAAAATTTTGGTCTCAAGTTTTCCATTTTACTCGTCACATCATAAAATCCCCTACAGTTCATGAGTCTGATTCTGAAAATTGTCCTGATAAATTTAGTGTATTTGCTGGAGCTTTTAGATAATCATAATGCTCTGCTTCATCAGTTAACAAAAGCCTCAGCTCTCTTATCGTAGTAGCTTGACTAACCCGTCCATGTTTTGTAGTCACCATTTTTCATGCCCCTGCCATAAAGTATTACTCCATCCCTTCCACCTGTCCTTATAAGAAGTTTTAAGTCAATTTGATATACAACTGTGTCATTAATATCTAGATTTGAAATCAGTAATCATTTATGTCACAGCCATGATCCCTGTTTGACTTGGAAACTGGTTCATACAAGATGTCATAAAGCTTGAGAAAGACTTAATACATTTTATGACATTTGTTATTCTGCTGTAAACATTGGTAATAAGTCTGAGTTTAATGATCACCATTTTTCTATAGTATTTACCACAACTTTTGACTAGAGAGTTTTGGTAGAGGCAAACATCAGTGGTAGTTGAGTTTGGTGTTAATCTTCCAGATAAGGTGATGATAGCTAGTCCCTGTCCTTAACACAGGTATTCTGAAGCAGTTATGATGACTAACATTTAGGGCCCCCTCTGCTGGACTTATGGGATCAACTTACATAAAAAAAAGTGTACTGTACTGTTTAAATATCTCTGAATAATTACCATTTAATATTTTTTACTTTTTTCATATACTGTAAACAGATTTTTTATGATTAATTTATTGAGTAGCCTTGATGATAAATTGTAGCTTGCATTAATCATTCAGCATTGGTAGGTCTAGCAGCCACTTACTTGGCTGTTTTGTTTTGTTTTTTGCCATGATTTATTGCATGGTACTACAGTTCGACCTTTACCTTGATGCACCGGTTCGGTCTATCAATAAACATATTTAGTGAGAATAATGGTACTGGATCCATAACTGTGATGTGTTTTGTACAGTGTAACTCCCATACAATGTGACTTCTCAGTTTTAGGAATTTTTGTATATTGTCATAAAAAAATTGTGAAAGGAAAAAATATGAGTAGTTTTCAGCATTAATTATCACTGATTAAGCTGCAAGTATATTAGTTGTTGAATACTGAGGTTTGGGTATATCAAGACACTGAGATGCACCGTTAACAGTATACACAGTAAAGATTAGTGCATAAACTGTCCCCTGTGAATACAGTGGTCCCTCGATTAACGAACATAATTCGTTCCAGAAGGTCGTTCGTTAACCGAAAATTTCATTAACGGAAACCAATGTTTCAATGGGATTTTGGGTAATTGGCTCATGGAAAATTACATACAAAGTAAAAAAAAAAAATGCAGTAAAGTACACTTACTTTGAGGTGTGTATGTAGAAGGCTCCTGGTTGATGATGATGATGGGAATTAGAAGTAGGGATGGAGGAGAAGGGAGAAGAGAAGGCAGTGGGGGTGGAGGAGAAAATCACCCCATGCTTCATGCCGTCATTTAACCCATAAAATTTTAAGTTCACTCGGTGTAATTCAAGATTATTTTCTTTAAATCAACACTGCACTGCACTATATATTGTCAATATGTTAAATAAATTTCAGAATGACCAATAATTGTACTGTAAAAACATAAAAATACTCTGTGTTCAAGAGACCCACAAGCAAGATGTTTCCTCAACTGAACAGAGATACAAACTGAGGCCTTGGTGGGTGAGTGAAGTGGCTGTTGGGCACACCAAAAACTAGTTCCCTGTACTGCAATTATGTTAAATAAGTGTTAAAATGACTAAAATATTTAATATAAAACTTGGAAAATTATTGAATAGTACAACCTTCTTGATATTTACTCCAATTTTAACGAATGTAAGCCCTAGAACCGTTTTCTGTATTGGTGGACTAATCTTCCAGCTGGTGAGCAAGCCAAAGCATGTCAAAATATTTTCGTAAGAATTTCGTTAACCGAATTGAATATTCTTATTGAAGGTAATTCGTTAACCGAGGCGTTCATTAACCGAGGGACCACTGTAATAAGATTTGCATTTACTGTACAATTAGGGTTGTGTCTTTAAAAACAGGGATGAATACTGAAACGACTGATGGCAGAGAATATTTCCCCTTACGGGAGGATGGAATTATGAGAGGATATGTTCCTATTCATTGCTAACCTAGCAAAAAATGGGGGAATTTCTTTCATAAGAAATAATTTGACATACACTGAACGTTACGTATTTATCTGCCTCATTATTTTTTTCGCTAAAAGATTCATAGCCAACTTAGCTGTCCATTCAAACTTGCCACACGTCTTAGTCTGGAATGAACAGTGGGAGGAGGCAGACCACCCAATGTTTTACCTTTTCTGTGCCCATTACACTCGGGGTCACTTACCTCCTGAGCTGAGTAAAATCGTCCATAGTGAAGGAGTTAACACATGTTTTGGACCTGTGATGGCAGTATAACACAGATACAGTATATTGTGGGATAAAATACACATAAATATTGGATATAGTTTTTACAGTATGAAAGGCAAATGAAACACAATGGATACAAAACAAATACAAAATAATTATCATCATAATATTTGTATACGGTCACAAAATTCAGCCCAGAATAAACCAAATAGACCATAGAATAATAATACTACTGTATAAAGTAGTGCACGTGTTGACTTATTACTCCACCACGACAAGTACAGTAGTCAGAACGACGAATATGTGAGACGTTAATGATAAATAGTAATAAAGTGTGCCAACTCTCCAAAGAATTAGTCTTACAATTTTGTGTTAGAGAATATGTCACAATGGATGAAGGGTTTTGACAACCCTACCGAGATAACAGGAGGATATAATGCAAATCTTTTCTCATAAGATGGCTAACAGGAAGCTAAAACAAGGGAAGAAGATTGCAAAACTTAGTTTCTTTACTGGAGTTTGTATTGTACTGGAGGAGCCACACAGTACCTGATTCTCATTGTTATATGAAAACATTGACAGAATGGGTGTTTTAAGTGTTCGTGGTCTACGACTGTTTTGTGTTTATTGAATGCATTTTTTTTTCTGCAGTGTTGAACCTTCTTGGCAGAACCAGTTTGATCTACTGTGTTTCAGATGTTATCAAGTATCAAGGGATGGAAGTCTTTATGCTTTTATGGTGTAAAATTTTATTAGGAAAGTCTTTCATTCTATACTTATTAAAGTATTTGCAAAAACCCTGAACTAAGATATGATGGGAAAAATTATTATACCCCTGTATTCCCGTTAACAATATTATTTAAATTTAATTAACGTTTGGTATTCTGCCAGACAAGAGAAGGTAATGTGGAAGAGAAAGCTTGCCTAAGTCACTATTGTTTCAGTTCAGGATACAACATAAATGCTCATCTCATAATTCTGCAAGAAAATCAGTAGACCAAACTGTTTCTTTGGGTTGGCTTGTGTTTGCTTTGCTTGTGTGTGCTAACACTGATCTCCCCACTAATTCAGCTCGTCTCATAGTCCGGAGAGTGGTATCGGCCTCAGTCACAACTCCCTGCCCGGCTCAGACACGTACGATCAACCGGACGGTGCCGATGACGACAATGCAGAGTTTTATGATGCCGAGCCCCTACCCATCATTGGAACATGTCGAGCATTGTACACTTTTGAAGGTTTGTATAGTACCTACATGCAGGTACTTGGTGTGATATTATAACTGGTTATATCAGACACATGTTTGTGTATTTAATGACTGCTCACATAGTGTCAGTTTGTGTTTATTTATGAAGGTGCTAAGAAATGTCTTAAAACCTTTTTATAATACAACTATAAAGTGTTTAAAATAGGTTAAAACAGGTTGAGCTGATTATGCAGAACATTTATATGCCCCGGGTAAGTGAATTTTGAAATTTACTTGTACTGACAAATTTGGGCAAAAACTTACTTGCCCAATTGTTATGGAAAAGGTTCAATAGACACCCTAAAACATTCAAATGTACTGTATTGTGTATAATAACTCACAATCAATTTTGATCATCTAAATGTCTTTTACCCTTGATTCTTATTTATGATGATGTTTTCACATCAATTTGTAGCCCAACTCTGCTGACACAACAACCAATGGGAGTTTTCATACAGATTTTGAAGTCAGATCATTGTGAGACTAGAGCAATAAAAATAGGAGGGATCATCATTGACGTCACTGAGGCTGTAGCACGCAACTGGGCTGTCTTAGCAGGTCAAGTCATTGTGGGATATAAAAGTCAGGGATCAACTCAGCTGTGACATCACACATCCCAGCCCATCTGCTGAATTGGTACATATGCCATAGGTGTCATTGGAGTGTAACTTAGAATGTAATGAAAATAAAAGACCTTGGGCACAAAGGTTTAGGAAGTGACCTTTAATTATATATTTATCATTGCAGGCACTAGTGAAGGCAGCATGAGTATGACCGAAGGCGAGGAATTAAACGTAATAGAATTAGATCAAGGAGACGGATGGACACGAGTCAGGCGTGTCGCTGCCTTTGAAGAAGGATTTGTGCCTACTTCATATATTGAAATGGCTCTATATAATAACTGTTAAACATTCCTACTTAATAGAGATAATGTGCATTCTGGGATGCCAAGTCATGTTTACCCAGGAAAGGGTGACCTACTAAACACAAACAAGACTTAAGAAATCGAAGTCATATACTGCATAGATTACCAGTGACACGCTTAGTATGGAAATGTTTAGTTTCATTTTAATGCATTGAAAAATACACTGAATTTAGTAATTCCATCATTTGAATTGATACTAGACATGCGCTTTTTTTTATTGCATCTGCAAGTTTTGCTCCAAAGTTGACATCAGTCTGCAAGTGCTCAATATTGTACTCAAGATCCCTCCATCTCTCTTTAAGGATGAAATCAGCTGTTAGTAAGATCTAGCATTCTCCTTAAGTCTTTAACTGTGAATATACACCTTATATTTATAGGTACAAGCAGGGACATTGCATTTTACTCCATATGTTTCTTTTAAGAAGATATTTTCTACATAATTTGAAATCATGTGTTACAGAGGTTAGTCTTAAACAGTTTGTTAGATAAATCAAAAGAGCATTACAGAGTCTCTTCATCGTATGGTGTCAGTAATGCTCGTTTTCCCCTTTTGTGTTGAAAAAGAAATACATATGAGGTGTATGAAGTATAAGTAATTCTTCGTGTGTGCCCACTTGAAGATACTGTATGTGAGTCTGATATGACATTACTTATGTAGTGTAGCTGTCATTGGCTTGACCTGCACGGTACGGGACATTTCATCAGTTAATCAATAAATACGCTTAATGGTAATTAAAAATGATAATTGTCATAATTGGCCAGATAATAACAAAGTGGTTTCTGTTGAACTATAGGATTTCTTTTATGTTTTCCTAGCATGCAGAGTAATGGATGTTAGGTATTACTGAAGATAGTTTTAAATTTATTTTAGTTTGACTTTGATAAAACAATTACCATTTTTAAATATGTCTTATATAAAAGTATATATTCATCAATGTGGACAGAAGAAATTTGTTAAGTTACAATGGATTTTTATGGGGTTATTCTGAAGCACATCACTAAGAGAAAGAGAATACCTCTTATTTTATATAAATCTTTTGTTCCAAACTATAAACCATATTTTTCCATTTATGTACAATACTACTTCTTAGGTGTGGAATGTACTAAGAGTGTTGTGTTGGTGTGTATGGCGTATGTTTGTAAGTTGAAGAAAATGAACCAGTTTTATTGTTCACATATTTGGTTTACTGCATTAAGTCATTTTATAATCATGCATTTTATGACTGGCTGTGCATTTTCTAAACCAGTTGGAAGCATACTTCAGGAACCTGCTACACAAACACTTGTCCTCATATAATGGAGTGTTTGTGTTCCAGTGATTTCTCACTTAGTTATGTATAACGTCTGACCAAATGTCTCAAAGAATTTATCGTGATTTTAATACTAGTAGATTTGTATAGTGTTTGTATCACTACCTGGGCTGAGCTCAGGCTCCTGCTAGCTTGTGTTTAGCAGTGCTGGAATAATTTTGCACTTCTATGAAGTGTAGTATATTAGAAGGGTAATATTTTGTACCTACTTCTGAAAAAGCTGATACTGCTCCTCAAGTTTTGTTTAGTCTCACTCTACTACTACACTAACTTCTCCCAGTTTAGATCACTATTGCCTGGCATTGCCTCAGATACTAGACAAATAGTGACTAAGTATTTGGCATTGGCTTGAATACTAGTTAGATCAGGATTGCTGTTGGTAGGCATCAACTTGAATAATAGATACATTGTGTTGAGTAAGAGTCAGTGTCACCACAATTTGAATTATTTTTCTTCTTCCACATACTGTACATTCACCTTTAACAACTGTACACATTTGGCCATAAAAAGTCTTCACTCTGAGATTGGGACATTAGTCATACTTAAAAGGTCAAGATGATTTTATTACATAAAAAAGGAACTGTAGGCTACAGATAACAAAACATATCTTATGTTTCAAAGTGGTGCAAGTAATCAATGGATAAAGACATTGTGTTCATACTTCACTGCATGACATGTTAGTTATTTTACGTGGTACAGTTTATCAAGTAAACACTCAACTTATTAACAGTTGCAAAGGTTGATTTTAGATGATTGATAATCTTCTAATTATTTGATATTTTGAAGATAAATAATATTGTTTTAATGCTCATTCCCAGAAAAATGTTATAGGTCATCTACAAGTGTAATATGAAACTGTATGTGGCTACTGAAATAAATCCATTTGTAAGATTTAGTGTCCCAGTTTCCTCACTTTTCATTTATATTTTCTTAGAACCTGGAGGTGAAAACTTGAAGACGGTCAGTATTAGCTGCACATTAACATCATTCTCACCAAGGATTTTTTTTCCCCTCATAATTTTGTTTTGTGTGTGGAAACCTTATGAGGGTTTGCATCAGTACACAAGGGTAACCACTTGTGCCATGCCTTGATTATTCTACCAAAAGGGATTGTTTACAAGTAATACTCTTTGTATTTCATTTAGAAAGTTGGCGCTGAACATAATTTTACAGAACATTGAGTTTCCCCGTTTTAATCAGTTCTTATTTTCACAAGAAGTTGTAGCAATTATCAAGGGCAAAATGAGAGAACTTTGCCAGAATAACCAGAGAGAGTTTCTCTGTTGGTTTAAAGAGCCCTGACAATTCATGAAAAATATACAAGTTGAGCCTTTAGCTCATATGAAAAGGGTGAACCTCTGGTAATTGTAAAAATAAAATAACTACAATCCCTGCAGCTTATCTGTGTAGGGAAAGTGTAGTACTGTACTGTACCCCCTCTTGTTTGGGGTGTGCCTGTGAAAACTTACACTCTTGTTGAAGAACATCTGTGCAGATCCTATATACCTACTTCTGTATATTTTATTTGTATTTTGTACATTTTTGTATTATAGTATGTTTTTTATAGAAGTCATTAAGGAGATGCTTTTTTTCATATGCTTATCAGGGAGTGATGACATGCTAGCAAGAGATAATAACAGCTTGGCTTTTCATGTCAGCTTTGTAGTTAATCCCCTGGTAAATGATGTATTAATATTATTATATCTATAATAAAAAATACAATGTTATGGTTGACACTTATTTTCCTTCACATAACAAGATATTCTTCACTGATTTAAAGAGCTGATGATCTCGTCAACAGATGGAAATGAAAAGTTTAACACAAAATAGTCAGAGCATCCATTGCAGTGATATTACATTGTAAGCAGAACATAATAATTAATGGTTTACTGAAAGAACATGGCAGCTAAAAGGCTAAAAATATAGTTTCATAATTGGGGAATTATGTAACAAATAATACACAAATAACATAGTGATACAAATTTGATATACAGTAAAGTAACAATGGGAGGTCATACTGCAGGGAATTTCAACCTAGTAACAGTGCAAAAGTGAGTTTGGCAGGGAGTGAGCACACTGGTTAACTATGTGTTGATAATTTTTACAATGGTCGGGACTGGGCTGTTCTTATAGCAGTCAGTACTTGCTCATATGGGATGGATGCGGTTGTAGTGTCGAACAGCAATTTGCAGACAAGGGATCTCAGATGGAAGCAGGAGACAATGTCGAGGATGGTGCTGAAGCTTCTCCCCAAATTCGCAGATGAGGTCGTGGTGTTAATTAGAGAGGAAGACCAGGTAGGGGAACCATAGATGAGCTTGGGAAGTATGAATGTTGAGTAAACACTGAGGAGCTCGGGAACGAGAACTTCAAGGACTTGAGACGACAGAGGAGGTGGAGACGTGTGTTTTCCAATTTAGTTGTTATCTATTGTGATGCCAAGGAGCTTGGTGGAGTCCACAACCTGGAGTGTGTTGGGACCAAAAGTATTGGAAGTAGGTGGGACAAGGTCAGAGGAGAGGTTGATGTGCATAGCCATGGTTTTGGTATGGTTGATGGTAACATGGTTGTTGGTGGCCCAATTTTGGAAACTTCAATATATTCTGGAGGGTGCTGAAGTCGGGAGCCAAGTTTTTCACACTGATCCCAATGGTGGAGTTGTCGACATGTTTCCAACGAGTGGGAGTTTCTCTCAGGGTATCATTGATAAGCAGGAGGAAACAAAGCAATCCTATCTTGGTGCCTTGGAGCAAGTCACAGTTGAGTGACTGAAAGGTGGAGACAGCCCCTTGGAAGAGTATGGCTTGACGTCAGTCACTAAGGAAGTCTGTAAGACTTCTGAAACTCAAGGTCGATAGCTTTGTTTATGATTAAATTGAGGTAAATGAAGGTAACAGTCACAGACGTCTTTCGTTTTTCCAGATGGCGATAAAATGGTAAGGTGGCCTGATCTACACTTGATGTTGCCCTACGCTTAGTGTTTGTTTACATGCTGCTCGGCCTGAACAGCGTCTCTCACATATATAAAACAATTACACCATAAAAAAGTAAGTTGTTTCTGTTTAATGTGGGAGTGGAGCCACCAAATTAGGAAGTGCGGTAAGGTTAAGTAGGTTTTTTGGACAGGTTGGTGCAGTCTTCTAACGATGCTTCAGCCACTTGTGTTTCGTATTGACTAAGGTTATGTAAGGTTAGGATTAATTTAGAAATAACCACATTTTAACACAGTTGCCCAAACTACGACAGTATCAACTGCAAAACAGTGAAAGTGCAGAGTTTTTAAATAAATTTTCTATGAAAAACCGCCGACGGGTAAGTAGGCAATACTGTAATTACCTTTATTACTTAATATCTTCCAAAGAACATATGGCAAAAATGAAATCGAACAATACATTCTGGTGTTAACCATCTTCTCCAGGATTACCTAAAAAAATAAAGAAATTAAATGGCACAGCTAAATCAAATTCTTTCAACTTTGATTGGTTAAGTTAGGAAAGACGTATTGTTGAGTGGCCTTAATCCACTGTAAAGAGGGACTAAAGCTATTATCTACAAACTCCTTCATGTACCACTGAGATCTCAACATAAGACCTTCTGAATGGCTACAAGGTGAGGAAAGTCAAGACAAATATAATTAGAAAACGAAAACCTCAATTTTAGCCAAGTACTGGTGAACGAGCATTAAATCATATGCCAGATTTTGCTGAAGAAATGCCCAATTGGTGAGTATAATGACCAATAAACAGCAGCTGTGTTTGTTTAGGTTTTAGTAAACAAGATGGAATTGATCGATGTGCAGTAAACTTTAACGCTCATGCTTTACACCATGAATGGAGGCACTGTAGTGGAGGCCTCCCCTACAAACGCCGTGTGTCGCTGACTGGCCGACCCCCCGGCGTATCCCTCGTGGTCAAGGTCAGGTAACCAGCGACGCCGAACAAAGCGGGGGCCTTCCATCAAGCCACGCCTACCGCGGTTATATAAGACCTCACCTGGCCTTCATTGCCCTCTTCCTACTTACCGCCACCAACAAGCAACATCCCTCAATAGCTCCATACACACGCTCCCTCAGAAAGCTCCTCCCCCTACAGGAACTCTGAGCAAGCTTCAGCCGACTTAGTATCTCTTTAACACTGTGCTGTGCAACAATATATATACGAGAAACATTGTGATTTTCTATTTCTACCTCAATCCTGAGTGTTGGATATATTTCATGTACGTACTTTATGAGGCCAAATAAGAGACCCTGACAACCTGCCACGACAGTAGCTACAGTACAAAGACCCTTTGGACCCTCATAACGTAAGTAATGAACAACTGTTAAGGTTCTACATATTTCCTCAATGTGAAAATTTGAAGCTGTGCGGGGAATTAGACACCTTTTTAGGATGGAGCGAAGATTCCATATAGGATGTACCCAGTGGCGTCCGCACAGGGGTGCCCTTATACCCCCCTCCCTAGAAAAGAGAAATTTGTTCGCAATCTTTCTTCACAATATGTGTACGATATTGTAGGTTTTTAAGCTAACGAGCCGATCAATGGTGAAGAGGATAAAAATAAGTGAACTGTGGTAAGCTGGTACTTTTGACAATTCCCCTGAATGTGAGAATTACTGTCATTGGCTAAATGTATTATGTATTTAATTCAACCGCAGTTCTGGATTTAGTATACACAAAAATAAGGTAAACAGGCAACCATTGGGGGACTATCATAAACTCAAGTCCCAGGAAGCAGTGCGGCGCGCGCAGGCTTCGACCTTAAGATTCCAGGAACGCCGTGGCCTTTAGTCATGCCATGCAGTCACTGACTGAGCCACCTGGCACCAGCCAGTCTGTTGTGTGGTGAAGCATGTTAGGCTGTCTCTTGACGTTGTTCACCTATCGAGTACACTCCACAGTTGGTGCCGTTGTTATTGACAGTTTTCATCTAGCTGGACGAATTACAGATTCTTCTGGAAGCAGGTAAATGCATCAGTATTCAAAAGCTTAAGATCGACGAATAAACAATAAATATATAATTGAGCACTTTATAATCACAGCGGCACTTATAACACTTAACAGTTGAAACATTTCAGAGAAACACAATATAAGTGGTCGACAATTAGAGCAACAAATACATGTAGTAGCACTTAAATAAATAGCTTCGTTACGCTTTATTTAAGTGTGTTTTTCCTTCGCCTTTTGGAAGTTAATGAAGTTCAATGGGACCTTTCACCCAGAGCACCAGCGGGAAACAAACGCGCGGCAGACGCTATGTCGGGGTCTGCAGTGGAGTGAAAAAACACGACAATGGAACGTGTTTTACCCGCGTTTCAGTTGTGGTGCTTCTCTGGTGTCTGTGACTATCTTTGTATTAAATAATTTAATATTATACCTATCCCTTTGACTGCTGATACCCCACACATGGGACTTTCCGCCTCCCAGAATAAAGACTGCTGGTATCCTTGTGGGATACCAGGGCCTGGCAGTAGGCAGTGTTAATAAGTCAAAAATATCTTACTTGCATTTATTGAGTGTTGCCATATATTAGACCATATTTTTTCTAGTCTCAAATTCTCAATTGGCCTTTAAATGGCCAGTAAGTTTGTAACCATCATGCTGAAGTGTGAAGTACAACAACTTCCCTCCAAGCGAGTCATGAAAGAAATTCTAAATTATATAAACTTTGGGACACGATTGAAGGAGGTGATATGGGTCGTAACTGACAAGCGAAGCATTGCATAAGAAAGGGTTATCACCAGGACAAAGAGTATACAAAAACACATTTAGAAAAACAAGGTATCGTCGCTGGCAAGAAGAGCCGGTGTTTTCAATATATTTACTGCCTATTACACCATTATTAACACTATAATGAAAAGAAACACTTCAGAATCAAACATGTTAATTGTAAGGAATTACATTACACACTTGTCATTTGTGTGACATTGTTATTAACCATGTTTGAATTCAAGTGCAACCTCAAGTACTCTACGAGTCGTTACTACGCAACACGTGAAGTGTTGGTCACGCGACCAAGGGGATTGAGGGTGAGAGGGTCTCAGATCAATACGCACCTCGGTCATGTTACTATTCCACCTTTCCAGCTCAGTAGCCAGCAGTATGTCTGCAAGTATTGTCTTCAATCAATGATGTACAGTGCCCTTACTACTTGCTGCAGCTGGTGACCATGAAGTGGATGTGGTTGAAGCCATTTTTGGACAGGTATACTCAACTCCTGTGTTTAGTTACTCAATTTTAGGGGCAAAATATATTGTATTTTTATTTACAAGTCAAGGAAGTTATACAGCATTTGATATGCTGTATATTCCCTTCAATTGAAATCCTGTAGGTAAATTACAATATTTTGGTGAAACAATAAAGAAGTTTGATCATGTTACTAGGCAGTGGGACTCATACGTTTAACGGTAGTTTACTTTGTACAATATTAATACAGGTACTGTATTCTCATTTTAATCTTATACCTAAAACTGCAATAGCTATATTTTCTGCAGCTGTATGAAGTGGATCATTGAAATTCTGTACTGCCTGTACTTTATATTGTCCATATCTTTAATCTACAATACATATCTACAGCCCCCTCAAAAATTCACCAGACAATCGGATTTCACCAAAGAATAGCATGGACTACATAAAGGAGTTCTACTGCAAGAAATGTTCAAGGTAAGACATAAAACATAATTGTGTAAATATTTCAGACATATTGTTGGAACACCATGCCTTTTGTAACCATTGCCAGCAGCACACAATAGGGAACTAACTGATCACCCACCCACCCAGCTGTCTACTAAGGTAACCAGTAGCTAAGATAATAAAGTAAAGTGAGCATGTTGCTCCTTTAGGTAACCTCTATAGTCTACACCTTAGTGTAAAGAAAATTTTGAATTTTTAAAACATTATCTTGGTGGTCTTCACATACCTGCCGTCTTTAACTGTGGTAGACGTGGACTGGTAAATGTTTCTTTTATGTTTGTAACAAGTATACCAAGATAATATTCTGTGCACTCTGATGAATAGAAACAAACCACTGCTGAACTATACTGCACATGTCTTACTCTTGGTAGGAATGGACCACAGATCATTGTCAAACTCAGGTCTGTTCCTGCTAAACTCAGGCATGGTAGAGATGGTTTGTTTCTTATCAGTGGAACATACATTCTTCTGAAGCTGTGGCTTACTTAACACATGTTTTGAAGAAGTACTGTAGTTACCTATTAAACACTGCATTATGTACTTAGTTTTTGGCATGTATCCTCTTTCCTATACTAAAAACAATGGTGGTGGTGCATATATTATTTTCTCAAATTTGCTTTTCAGTTTGCTACAGCTTAACTGCTGCAGAAATTGGCTTACTTTAGGATGTTTAAATTGAAAGGGAAAATTTTGATATACAGTACAGTACTGTACGGTACTTATAAGGAGGTAGGTTGCAGTGTGACTCACTACCAAACATCATAGGTTTCTCAGAGTCCAGTTTCTTCCTGCACTAACACTGAATAGACCAACAGCCCAAATGGTTAGTAAACTGATGTTTGATGAAATGATACAGTAAATATTAATAATAAAAAAAATCTATTGTAATTTCCTCTTCTTGAAGGTTTGAGGTGGACCCAAAATATACCATCGAGGATCGGTGTTATTGCGGACTTAGAAAAAATGAACACGAGGACATTCGAGATTTCATCATACCTGTGGACAAAGGGGTATGTAGACAGATTCTTTGATAAATTTGCATTATGGATATGAAAAAGTTCGGTGTGAATTAATGGCATGTCAAATTTTTTTATTGAGGGGGGGGGAGGGAGACTGAAAGTTTTCCAAAGGTGTGTAAATTTCAACAATGTATAATAATAATAATAAAACTGTAGTAGTATTTATTCAGTAAAATCAACATACAAGTTTATGATTGTTTTGGCATATATAATTATATATAGACTATGCAGGTAGTATACCATTCAGCAACTGTATAGACAACACAAGGTACAGTATATGGCGCACATAGACCAAAGAGATAGACAGTTTTCAATGTATACTTAGACAGTTCTCCTATTTCTTGGCTGGTTATAACCAATTATATCATCTGTTTTGTATTTCTTTTCCAGCTATATGATATACAGGGTGTGTACTTAATTCCTTGATTTCCTCCTTACATACAACTCAGTACTTGATTCCCTCTCTGTCCTTTCACTCATTCACAGTCTCCTATATACTTCATCTTTTCTTAACATCAGATTCAACCCTCAAGTAACTATAACAGCATGATGAGTATTTTTGTTTTGTGAGAAGTTGAGTGCGCTGCTTTTATTACCACAATTAACCAGAAACATTTTTTTTTAATATTGTATGAGATTATTGTTCCATATTCTGTCCTGAAGTTTGCTAGTGTGGACATTGGCCCATCACCATCAACAAGCAATGATTCTTCATCGATGAGAAGTAATTTGACTTGGGACCCTGAAATAATTTTGAAGACGTGCCGTACTGATGCTTATGGGATTGTGCATCTCAAAAATAACACAATTGGTGAGTGATATTTCTGTCACATAACATTTACAGTATTTGTCTTTATATTCTCTTAAAATTTAGGAATCTTTGTAATGTAATGTAGCAGCTGAGTGGATATATACAGCATCCACCTTCTCTCCAAAGGATCACTGAATCACACCTAGAGCCCCTCAGTATATGTGAGTGTTTGAGAAGAGAGTCCCGGACAACTTGGAGTATTTATCCCCTGGTGGTACTAATCATGACAATTATTTTCCTTACATCTTTAATTGTTACTTTTTTCTTGTAATATGATATATAATGTCACCAAAAAACCCTTGAAGAAAGAAACAACGGAAGGAAATGAGGAGGTGGCGGGGGTGGGAGAAGTATACTAAGGCTATGTATCCAATATCTGTGTCTGTACTGCCCATAATTGACTGTCAGGGCTATAGGATCAACTTTTTCCTCGGTATACAAAGTTTATTGCTCTCTCCCTTTTTTTCTTCGTTTCAAACAGGATCATACAGACCTTCAGATTATGTGAGACTTGAAGACAACACACCAATGGATAAGGTTTTAAGGCTGTTCTCCTCTCATTGGAGTCTAATGATACCTCAACCTCCTAAACTTGCCATCTCCATCATAGGACAATGCAAGAATTTTGGAGCGTATGGAACAAAGAAGGAGAATTTTGTGTCTGGTCTCATCAATGTGAGTCATTACACTGGTTACCCAGTTTCTGTCTTTTCCATAATTTATATATACTGTAATTCCTTGTATAATTGTGGGAAAAAAGTCCCGCCAGTCTTCCGTCCCATCAATGAACCCTGAGACTCGTGAACCTCTGAATCCGAGACCCCACATGTTGTTGGGCCCATAGATGACTTACTGGGTTTTGTGATGTCTCGAATTCACAGGTTTATGAGTCTCGGGGTTTATGGATGAGACAGAGGACTGACAGGACCTTTTCGTGACTGTATCTTTAGAATTAAATAGTCCAAATAAGAAAAAGAGGATACAAGAGTATAAAGATTACATGGGTTTGCACTGGATATACATGTACTATCGTGCACAAAAGTCGTGCCCACTACCCAGCCACAGTGAGGGTTCGAATTGCCTTGAGTCTGAAGTTTCGAAATAGCTGGGGGAAATGCTATGGTCGGCCAACAAATGTCGCCCACTGTAGTGTGTGTTGGGGGAATAGAGGTGGTGGGGGTTAGTCTAGTAACAGGCTGTGTGTAGGTGGTGCATAACATCGTGAATTCCGCAATCACTGATAACAATAAGATTGTCATGAATATAGTTTATATTATTAAGCATGGTGAGAGATATGTAACGGGTAAATAAAAGCACTACAACGACCATATCTCTGCCGTTCATGGCTACGACGGTGAGACTGATGGGCACACCATTAATTAATTCTCCGTGACTACCAGCAATGAGAGTCACGGAGAATACACAAGCTATTACCAAGGTTGGCGCCACCCACACCAGGGGAAGGAGGTGATGCCGAGGTCTCATCCTACCATCGTCGTCACCAACAGGTAAGTCACATTAATTTGTCATAATAGCCCATGTCGTCCTTATACTTGTAGAGGTGAAAGAATTTGTGATATTGAGTAGAAAATCTTCTATACACATAAGCATTTTTCGGTTTACTTTAGGCGTGAGGTGGGTTGTAAAAATTACGCAGAGCAAAAATTTTGCCGTGTTATAATTTTTATTTCTTACCAATTGCAGCCATACTGTGTGCTGTTGTAACCCTTATTGGTGGATTACATTAGGCCTATTAATAGCGTGAAAACCCGTTTGAAGATACTGTAATGTTCCATAACTTGCATTAAACAACATCATACGTTCACGATAATAATAATAATAATAATAACAGTAATAATAATAAAAATAGTAATGGAAGTATTACGCTTATGCTAACCGTGGAAGCCAACTGCTTGTTTGGTTGTGGACTAGTTTAGTGACGTAAGAGCGGATCTTTGACGAAGCTTCGAAACTCATGACTATCTTTCGTTAATAATTATCAGTTTTATTTTAGCTAATGGTGGATAGAAGTGATTTAAGAAAATTAATGAGATTATAGATGACAGACCAATCGTGTATGGTGTTCTTTCCGCCGTCCAGTCGATTATTTTCATAGGAATCAGTAAAGCGAACCAATGAATTAAGGAATCGAAGCACCTCGGGTTCGCCACTCGCCAGTGATCATTATAGGTACGGCAGTGGTGGAGGCAACATCTGTGTGTGTGAGGTCATATAGTATTTGATCGCTATTTCCATGTTTTACGTTTGCTGTTTGTGGATTACCTCGTGTTTGTGGCGTCGTGAGGACTTCCAGGACTCTACGTTGTGGTTATTAGCAGTTGAGTGAAGGTAAGGTGATAAGTTGTGTTGTTATGTGGATAGACAGATAATACTGCTATTAAGATGGCTATTAAACTAAGCTAATATGTGGATATATGAATAAAATCCTAGAATTAGTATCGGTACATTGTTGTTGCAGTGCGGGGTACGTATCCACCTGTACTGGGACCTTGATTTTGTATGAATTTATTGAGTAAAAATCATACATACATACATGAGGGTTATCGGCCTGGTTGTTTCATGTTAAACACCTTGTTCAGTTGAAGTTTTTGTTAGGGTAAGAGTGGTAGGTATCGTCACCGGGGCCCATATGCTGCTATTGCTGAAGTAAATTATGTAATGGGATCACTAACCAACATTTCCAATATAATTATTTGCCCTTGATAGTGTAAATACCTAGCGCGTCACTTGTACCCCTGTACAATAACACCAGAAGCATCTGGCAAGTGTCACAAGTATATACAGTATAAATATTATAAAGGGGCTTACTAAAGCCTAAGGAAGGAAGGATATTCCTTTAACACATAATCAATGTTATTTACATAATATCTGGCCAGTATGGGGAGGATCATCGTGTCTCCGTCAGGGGGTCGGGAGTGGTGGTCCAGCAGGCGTCACGGAAGCGTTGTGTGTGGGGACATCTTAGGAGGTAGTGGATAAGGGTGCGGCTGTCGGGTCTTCTGCATAATGCACAAGAGCGTTGCTCAGGGGATGCGGGGATACCAATCTCCCAAGCAAAGTCATACCCAATGATGATACGGGCAGCAATCACGTCCCTTTTCCGCGACCCTTTCCCATAGACATACGAGAGGTCAGGAAGCTTACGGAGGACATCGTACCAGGTGGGCGGGGAGTCCAGGGGGATGGCTGCTTCCCGAGCTTCTCTCTGTTTGCGGCGAATTTGGGTCCTAAGCTGTAAAAGTGTTCGAGGAACAACGTAGTCAGGTGTGGCCTTGTTGCAGCCAGTCTTGGCAAGGCCATCTGCTGCCTCATTCCCCAAGATACCGACATGACTGGGTATCCATAGGAATGTCACAGGACGGCCTGCATCCTGAAGTGTGGATGTTAACCCTCGTATTCGGAGGATGAGGTCCTTATTTTCCCCTGATCCAAATGCGATCCCGTCGAGAGCAGACCTGAAATCGTAGCAGACAAGCAAGGGGCAGAAACCATCTGCTTCTTCCTCAGCGAGAAGGGCAGCAACGAGGGCTGTTAGTTCCGCCTGAGTGGAGGATGCCCCGTCAGAAACTCTGAGAGACAGTTTGATAGGCTCAGAGGCATCAGGACGGGAGATGTAGACACCAGCCCCGGCCCGACCTGTAGCGGGGTCAACAGAACCATCAGTGTAGAGGACGACCCTACCTGGGGACCAGTGGGCGATCCTGGAGAGGTGGTATTTGCAGAGAATAACAGGGTTCACGTGGGATTTCGGGAGCGGTCCACCAAGGGCAATCACTTCAGGTTGAAAATCCAGCCAGGGAGGAGACGACGAACCAACAGCAGGGGTTCACTTGGATCATGGGTTGTATATCGTAACGTGCTTATTTCTCTCACACAAGTCCAGGGTTCGAATCGCCTCTGGTGTAAATGTGTGTCTGACGTAACACGATTTCCGGTTTTCGCCTGCACCAACATTGGATAAACTAACCACCCAGATGGCAGCTCGAGGCAAACGTCAGAGATGTTGATGGGTAATGTAAACTGTTGTACACTGAAGAGGAAAAATAAGAGATAACTGTATTATATACTGATGGAAAAAAGAACAAAATATTGGTATTGAGGGAAAGGTGTTTGTTGATCAAGTAACCCAAATTAAGGAGCACATTTCAGTATTAATGGTATGGATAGATCTACGTAGTATTAGTTAAGGGCTGCAAATTGGTGCCATCTTTTACTGTAATAATACAAAACTACTACCATATGTTGGAGTTTGATAAACTTTATATAGGAGAAACTTTTCTAGACTATTACAAATTCTAAATTGCAATTTAAAATATGTATGCCATTTTTTACCCGATCTAATGTTGACACTGGTGTATATACTATTCAACACAGTATGGTGGCTCACTGGCAAGGTACCTGTTGTGGATGATGGAGGCCTCGGGTTCGACTGCCAGATGGACTGAAGTCGTGTTGAACTGGACGAGGCAGAGACAGGATTTTGAATGGTTCGTAAGTAAAATTTATGTTTTACCAGTGATGTTGGGGCTGTGCAATGGAATTACTCTACTATAGAGAAAGAAGCTGTGACTCTGCTTATGGCACTGGAAAAGTTTAACATATATCTTGGCAACACCTACCAGAGAATTGTAGTTTACAGTGACCATAATTTATTACAGTTCAGAAGTCGAATGAAAAACAAGAATCAGAGACTTAATAGATGGTGATTAACTCTGCAAGGAAGGACTTGGTATGTTGTGTAGGAGTGAGGGAAGGACTTGGTATGTTGTGTAGGAGTGAGGGAAGGACTTGGTATGTTGTGTAGGAGTGAGGGAAGGACTTGGTATGTTGTGTAAGGAGTGAGGGAAGGACTTGGTATGTTGTGTAGGAGTGAGGGATGGACTTGGTATGTTGTGTAGGAGTGGGGGAAGGACTTGGTATTGTGTAGGAGTGAGAGAAGGACTTGGTATGTTGTGTAGCAGTGCGGGAACGACTTGGTATGTTGTGTAGGAGTGAGGGAAGGACTAGTTATGTTGTGTAAGAGTGAAGGATGGACTTGGTATGTTTTGTCGGGGTGAGGGATGGACTTGTAGTATTGTGTAGGGGTGAGGGAAGGATTTGTAGTATAGTGTAGGAGTGAGGAATGGACTTGGTATGTTGTAAAGGAGTGAGGGATGGACTTGGTATGTTGTGTAGGAGTGAGGGATGGACTTGTTGAACTGTGTAGGAGTGAGGGAAGGACTTGCAGTGTGATATAGGAGTAAGGGAAGGACTTGTAGTATTGTGTAGGAGTGGGGGAAGGACTTGTAGTATTGTGTAGGAGTGAGGGAAGGACTTCTAGTATTGTGTAGGAGTGAGGGAAGTACTTGTAGCATTGTGTAGGAGTGAGGAAAGGATTTGATATGTCGTGTAGGAGTGAGGGATGGACTTGTAAGTTGTTTAGGAGTGAAAGAAGGACTTGTAGTATTGTGTAGGAGTTAGGGATGGACTTGGTATGTTGTGTAGGAGTGAGGGATGGACTTGGTATGTTGTGTAAGAGTGAGGGATGGACTTGGTATGTTGTGTGGGAGTGAGGGATGAACTTGTGGTATTGTGTAGGAGTGAGGGATGGACTTATAGTATTGTGTAGGAGTTAGGGATGGACTTGGTATGTTGTGTAGGATTGAGGGATGGACTTGTAGTATTGTGTAGGAGTTAGGGATGGACTTGGTATGTTGTGTAGGAGTGAGGGATGGACTTGGTATGTTGTGTGGGAGTGAGGGATGAACTTGTGGTATTGTGTAGGAGTGAGGGATGGACTTGGTATGTTGTGTAGGAGTGAGAGAATTTCGTAGCAAATGCACTATCTCATTCACCAGACTGAAAATATAACACAAGTGTTTTATCTTTGGGGAGGGAGTTTTATAAGGCACTGAATATATTTGATTGAGAGGTAATTACACTGCTTTTTCAGTAGGAAGGACTATATTTTATATATGTTCCTGTATGTAAACATTGTCTAGTATGTTATATATATATTAATTTATAATAAGTACGTGTATGTAATAAGTATATCAGCTTAACGTTATGCATGTGTTAGGTAAAATAGTATGGTAATTGTCGGCAT